CAGGTTTTGGGGAAAATAATAATTATAAAATAAACCTTTTAATTGTTTTCTAATATTACTCATTCCTAATGGTTAAAATGTCTTTTTTGTTAATATCAGCCACTTTCAGAATTTAACTTAAAGCATTATATATCCCTCATCTTGAACATTAAATTTTTTTGGCAAAGTTGGACCTTTATGCCCACAAAAAAAAATGGAGTGTCAAAAGGATGTTTTTTCCCTTGACACTGCTATCATTTTAACTACTTTAATTCCTCGGCAATATTTATTGTTTTAAAAAAGCAATGATTAGAATTGTATAATTAAGCCTAAACATATGAAAGTGAATTTTTACAATTTCTTTGTTCTTGAGAATTTATAACAAAAATAATAAACACTGTTTATTAGATTGTTTATTTACATGATTTATTCATTATATTGTTTATTGGAATGGTTGGAAAAACATTGGCTGATTGATTCAAACTTTATAAAATGGTAAATAATTAAGGATTTTCTTATTGTTGGTTCACATATTTTAATAATTTAGTAATAATTTAGCAACCATTTTTACCAGTGCTCATATTGCAATTTTTCTGTTATCATTTCATGTTTTTACCAGAGCTCACATTGCAACTTTGTTGTTATCATTGCTTTTCTCTGACACTCCTTATTACTGGTTCCCATATTGTATTTATTTCTATGCTTGGTCGACTCAGGAGATTTTTGTGGCCTAGCATATGTGATGATTCCTTAAGTTTACGAATTTTCCAATGGTGTTCCTTGTCTATGATCTCAACATGATCCTACAGAGGGCAGTGATCTCCCTTCTCTCTCCATATGTGGTCAGCCATGCCTGATTTTTCTACTTCCCATCGTGTTACAGCTTTCTGGTGTTCTTGAAGCCTTACTTTGAGGGGGGTGGCCTGTCTCTCCTTTATATTCCTTTCTGCAGCTTACAAACAGTAATTCAGTTGTTTGAAATGCTGAAATTTAATTGTCCTTGGAATTTTGAGTAAGGAAAATGTTCCTGTTGATAAACTGTGATGTGTATTAAAAGGTGTGTGAGTTTGAAGAACATTAGTAAGATTTATTGTTACTTGTAAGAGAATTAAACAGTTTGTTTCTCACAATGTTAAGTGTTTCTGTAGTTGAAAGTTCAATGTTTAAAGATAGAAGGAGTTATTTACCTTTACCATTTAGTTCAATTGCTTAAGGCAAGTTCAAAGAAACTTGTTGAGTGATAGAAAATTGTATTCTTCACTTGAAAATTGAGAAGTCATATTTGTTACTAAAAATATATTTTTTTAGTTTAACACTTCTGAGTTGAAAAATATATTGAAGTATTTTGCCACTCAAATTTGTTCACCAAAGAGGGATGAAATCAGTTGAGATGAATTGTCTAAAGTCATACATGCTCAGGCAGCATGCTGTCTGCTGATGAAAATCTCAATGTTAGAAGTTGATAAGTTTCTCTATCCGTGTAGTTAAAGAAATGAATGTATGTTTGTAGCTGTTCAATGATTGTAGATGTGCATAGATGTGCATACATATGTGTGCGCATGTCATGACATTTCATAGTGCTTTACTCTAGGGAACAAATGTGATCTCTCTACTGAACTACATTGCTGTGGGTCTGAGAAGGAGAAAATAGAAAGAATCAAGATGTTACTATTTATAATTAATGTGAATTATGTGATAGGCTCATGAACACATAACCAGATTTTGGCGGTGACTTAACTCTGAACACTTGTGCATATGTTTTTTACATATATTAGCCAATCAGAAGTCAGAGAATTATTCAAGGCCTGTGATCCACTTTGGTGTTTAGTTTGTACAAAAATTGCCGTTGAAAGCAACTACTACATAATACAATCAAGTGGTAGGAGAATGCTAAATGTTCAATGGCTTGATCATGATAAAACATCCAAACATTTTTCCAAAACCAAAATTACAGTTACAGAAGATTATGGCGACTGTCTGGCATTATCCATTATCAATGCTGAAGCAACTAGATGAAATGCATATTCAATTAAGCAAAATGCAGCCAGCGCTGATTAATTTGTAGTGACACTTAGACCAGAAACAGGAAGTTACCTCTTTCATAGCTTAAAACATAATTTCAGGCTTTGCACAATAGGCTCCACACACAACTTCCAGTTGAAGTTTTTTAAATACAGTCCTAAATAAATACATGTTGACCAATAAGAAATGAGTGTGCCTGAAATAACCAACAACTAAATCAGAGCCTCTTTCAACTTTGCTAATAATATAGATAAACCCCTGTCTAAAAGAAAAAAAAGAGAGATTCCAACAGGAGATACACAGAGAAGACACAGAGAGACAAACACTTACAACTGTGAGTGGATACATTAAAGGCAACTCAGCTTTAACAACCACTACCATTCCTCACACCTTTCTTGTCATTTTCACCCCCACTTTACTTCTCTCATACATTTTCCCTCCTTTTTCTTATTCAACACTTAAGTACTTTTACAAACTTGTATTCATTGAAATTTTATAAAAAAAGACATTTTATTTAATCTTACTTAAATACAAACCTTGTGCCATTAATGAACATTACTACTGTTTCTGTACAATACAAAACTACTTATTAATGTTTATATAAATTATTATTGTTATACTCCAGACTTTATTCTTCTTAAGATGTGATTTATTGTATTTTATTTACTCATTCATACAACCCTTATAGTTGGCTGATCCTAACAAGGCCAAATCGAACCCCATAGATGACCTATAAATTAACATGGTCCAATTCTGCTTCAAGACAATGTTCATCCATTAGTAGGATGACACTATAGAAGCTTGCTGACTTGGATTAGAAGACTTTGCCATATCCACCCTATTCCCCTGGTCTCTTGCCAAATGACTACCACCTTTTCAAAAATCTTGACAATTTTTTAAGCCAAAAGATTATCCATTGAAATGAAGATGCCAAAACTGCATTCAAAGATTTCTTTGTGTCTAAAAGTTTTATGACAAAGACATAAACACCTTGTAACTCGATGACAAAAATATATAGATGCTCACGGTTCCTATTTTGACTCATTTAAACACCGTTTAAAGACATTAATTCACAAATAAACGTTGATTCTAAAATCAGACATTATTTTCCAAATAACCTAGTATTTTTGTTGTTTCAGTGTTGAAAATTTAAATAATTTATATTTTATATATATAAATGATCATAAATAATTTAGCTTTATTTTATTTTATTTTTTTAATAAATGCTTACAAAAGCATGAAAATTAATATTATAAAACATTATTTATAAACCAGTCTGGTAGGATTAAATGGAAAAGTTCATTTAATATATGGAAATTTCATTGTTTAGTAATTTGTGTTACTTTACAAAATCTGTAACCAGCCCAGTGTTTCTCAGTAGATGCATCCAGGTGCACTAATGCACACTACAAGGAAGTCAGGTGCACCCCAAATTAACAGAAGAGCAATTATTTTTATATTTAAAAAATCTTTATTTTTAAAAAGCTAGAAATACCAAGCATGTGGCTTCCATGTGTAAGTCAAGTCTTTGTCATTTGATGTTTTATTTCTAAATTCCTTAATCTTTAAGAAGGAATAGATAATCCTTTCTCTTTTGCCTTCCTCAAGGGATTTAAATCAATCATTATTGGCCTCTCTTAAACAAATAGCAGTTTCTTCATAAATCCCTGTAAATGAAAACTGTACTGTTAATCTTCTTTGAGAATGCTAAACTAAAATTTCATATTTTCAAATTTCATGATTAATTTTTCCCTATTAAAATTTAAAGTGTGTCTCAGACTTAATTATTCTACAAGTGCACCCTGAAATATAAAAGGTTAAAAAATACTGATTTAGCCTATTGTTTAGTTACTCTAATTTTTTTTAGTTAACTATTTGTAAGTAATTTTTGTTAGAACTGTTCTTAAATAGTTTTTTTTATTTCCTGTAGGTTGCTCCACAAAAACAGGAAATTTTAGATTTACTATATGATGAAAAAATTAACTAACGTATAAAAAAATTAATGTTTTTAGTTTGAACACCACATCTAACATTTGTCTTTTTTTCTATTCTAAGCTACTAAATTTCTATCCTTTGCTTTTGTTTCAAATAAATGTAACAAAAATTCCAATAATTGAATAAACTATACAAAGTTTTCCTGTTTTTGGAAATAATTATGTGTAAAATATTGAATTTGATGAAAACTATATTCCATAAAAAGATTATCAATAAGAAGAATAAGTACTAATTAGAAAAAACATTTAAAGTTAATTTTTATTATAGAAATTAATTGAAATTAAAGAAAATATGCATTTTTTTATCATAAAAATTAAAATGTCATTTTCAAACATGCATACCTATATTTATTTATTTAAAAAGAAAGGGATAAAAATATAATTATTTTTCACTTTTATTAGATTATCAAAAGTTACTTATAATGGTTATTTTTTTTATTAAACTTTCTTTGAAAATGAATTCTCAGAGCAAGTGTCAGGTATTGCGTTAAAAAAAAAAAAAATATATTTAATAAATAAAAATTCAAAAACGTCCACAACTGGCGAAGCCTTACTTTGTATTTATATTCTCTTTCATGAAAGGAGTGTGCAATTTATCAAATTTTATTTAGTGGCAGGAAAAGGTTTCAAAAAGTTAATTTACTCCAGCCCGCAAAAAAACAAAAAAAAAACAAAAACACCTTTTTCTTTCAGCGGTGACCTTTTTTTCCGTCAGATTTGCCCGCGGTCACGTGACTCCGTTGGCCGGTCGCAATGCCGCCATATTAAACACAATCACGATTGACTCGCTCTCCATGTTATCCACACAAAACTCGCTTTCAGTCGAGTTCGATTATCCACCAACGCGAGCCATGAATTTCAGGTAGTTTTGGATCTTACACGAAGTGAAAAAAAAAAGGGGATTTAAATACAAAGAACAAGTTTTTTTTAATACTTGTCATTTGTGTATCCTCCCACAAATAAACAACGGATTGTGTTTTTGTTTGTATCTCTCGCTAAATAATAATGGCCAGTGCTACTACTGCCGTCAGTTCTACAACGAGAAATACTATTCTGTGCAAGTAAGTGTTTTGCTATAAATCATTTAAATGAAAAGGGTGATGATCGATCCTAATAGAACTCTTTGATATCATTATAAGACGCATTTATTTTTTATTCTTTTCAGCGATCTTGAGAAAAAAAAATTGTCGTATGAGGTCTGGTAAAAAAAAAATATGAACATATTTTTGAAAAAAAAGCATGCCTCATATTGCGAATTTACTTTCATTCTTCCTACAAAATTCGGTCGACTCTCGTCATTTAAAACAACTAACTCAGAAGTCTTGATTGTTTAAAGATTATCACTGACAATCACGTTTTCTTTTTCAAAAATTACGACTCAAACAAAAAAAAAATAAAATAAAATTGGCCACGTTTTTCAGTGATTTCTCTTTGCTTTTCGTTTTTTCTACATTATTATTTTTAAAAAATAAAGATTCTGATATGAGTCCTAGTAAAAAAAAAAATGTTGAATTAATTTGCTATTTTTTAAAAAAATTTTATAATTTAATAATTTCAAACTTTTAGGACGATTTCTTTAATTTTGGTAAAAAGTAAAAACACATGGTAACTACGTCAGTTATACTCAATATGTTACATCATTTTATTTTTTGATTTTTTAGTAATTTAAATTTGTCCTACTCATTGGAATTTTCACAAATTATTTCGCTTCTCTTATTTGAAGCTGATTTAATTAATATTCGCCTGTTTTTAACTCTTGTTATTCTTTTCTTTTTAAATGACAATGTTAATTGCAAATTAACGCACCTTAAAGAAAAAAAAAAAAAAAAAGTAACGTTAAACTAACATTCGTCCGTTGTAAAAAAAAAAAAAAAAAAAAAAAGATTAAAAAATATTCAATTAAAAACAGGGACGAAAATTATTTTAATGTTCAGAGCTATATTTATTTAGGCGATTGTTTATTGTAAATACTGCGGTTATATACACAAGGCAGCAAATTGTCTTTTTCAATGTCGTTACGGTTTTCTCTTAAAATTCAGAAATAAAAATTATGTGGTTTCGTCTTAACTCGTTTAAAATGAAGATATTGATGGTAAATAAGAAAAATAAGATGTTAAAACAAGGTAAAATGACTTTTTTAAAATTTATTTATATACCATTTTTTATAATTATTTTTTTAAATGATTTTTCAATCCTCAGTTGTTTTTTTTTACCTCGTGTCACCTGTTAACGGTAAAAAAAAAAAGGAAAGACACCCTCTCCACCAAAAAAATAATTAAAAAGGTTAACACAATTATTATTTGTTGGATTTCTGGTTTTTATTTCCTGTTTTTAATTTTTATGGAGTTTTTTTACGCATTTTAAATTAAAATGTATAACTTAGATAAAAATTTGAAAGTTACAATTTTTAGAGCTGATTTGAGAGATTTTCTGGTTTTAAAAGTTGTTTAAAGACTTTTTTTAGCATTCAGAATTCTCTACTACTTTTATTTCTAGCGATATTGCCAGAGATTGTAAGCAAGAGAAGTTTCGCAAGAATTTGCAATCGCAATTTTTAAACTTTCACAATTTCTTATTCCCACACATCTTGATATATTGATTCTTGTATACTTTTAGTTTTACTTTTTAGTTTTTTAACTGTTTTGAGCTGTTGCTCTCAGAAAGGTTGGGGAAAAGTTCTCTACCCAAGCAAGGAACCCTTGCCAAATCATCCTGTTTGGACAATGGGGTCGATAAATTTTCAGCATCCCCTCATCATAAAGACATACATCAGAAATAAGATGTCAAACACTAGCCAAATGTTTCAGTATTTAATTGCGAATGAAGCATGATTGAAAAAAAATATAACTCATTGATTACGTTTTTAATTTGATCTTAAAAAAAAATTTAGTCTTTTGAGGAAAATACAATTTCTTGCCTGTTATTGTGTATGATAAGAGTAAATAAAGGAAGTTATTTTGTTCGTGTGGGTGCTAAAAAGTTCCAGGCCTAACCAAGAACCCTTTCCTCGCGAAAGGCTTGATGTTTGATCAGGTTTTGCTGGGTAAAGCGTGTGCCGGGCCAGGAACTTTTCAACACCTGTGTGTATACATCAGGAAAACCCTTTTCTTTTTATACACAAAAGTATTTGTCGTGTAAAATAACAAGTGAATGTAATACTAGATTATTGCCGAAATTGTACATTTTCATTTTTTTTCTATATGTTGCTATTAATTGCAAATAGACCGTTATTCTCGACTTCGTTGATTATCTCCTCCTGCCTTAAGCACGTGGTTCTCTGTTTTTGTTATCTCCCTTAGATAAGGATCTTTGATTATTTGACTTATGATCTCAAGCAAGCCCAAATAAAAGCTTTCCTCTGAAAATTTGGTTCATTTACTGATTATTATTATTATTATTTCTTTATTCATGTGTTTGTATTAAGTTTACCGCTCTAAGCAAATTCCGAGTTAGAAACACCAAATTACTTCTTACTAGGTTCATATACAAACTTTTGGGATTTGAAAAGCCATTCATATTCATCTCATCAGAAATCAAATAAAAAAAAATGTAATTTTTTTTTTTTTATTTCAACTATTTCTTTTAGTAAGAAAAACTGAAGTATTTTAATCTCATTAAAATTTCACGTGTCAAGTTATAATCTGGGCCTGTATTCGAGGTTAATTCACAGAAGCAGAAAAAATGTTTATGGGAGTTTTCATTTCCAATTTCTTAGGAAGACAATAATTGTTGACTTTTTTTTCTTTCAGTGTTCCCACAGATTCTGCACTTTAGGTGTGCCCTTTTGCATCATGTAAAGGTCCCAAAAATGTTTTCTTAAGAACCTGATTATTCAAACTCCATTAAGGGCTTAGACTGAGTTTATTTTTAAAAAGATGAAAAATATGAGGGAGGTTATTCAGTGTTTTATGCCAAAATTGTTTAGAGCTGTAAAATCAAAAATACCCCCATTTTTATTATATATATAAAATGTAGATGGCATGAAGATTGAATTCAAGCATAAAACAGACAGTTGCTATTCAGTGGCCACTTTTACATTTACACATGCTCTATCCCTGATAGACCCATCTATAGCTATAGCATAACTTAAAAATATATTATCATATATATTGTCATCCACAGACATTATTTCACTGTATCACAGCTCTTCAGTGTGGCTAGATGTCCAATTGCTTCAAGCCAGGATTGAAACCCGATCGATTTGACATCAGACAGAGGTACTACTCCTAGGCTATCGTCACATGGCAGAGAGAAGGGGAAATTTTAACGCTTTCTATATGAAATACACCAGTGGCCAGGAGTGCTCAATTCATGGTTGAAGAGCTATATATATATATATATATATAGTAGACTCTCCTATCGTGAATGATAAATGATTGGATGGTGCCTTTTGTTTTACATTTATGCATGCTAGTAGGGACCATTTTGGAGAAAATCGGGCAAGAGAAAGACATATTTCATTTGTGCTTTCTTAAGTGTGGTACCTGCCCAGTCTTGCTGCGGGCGACAAAGCCACACTGACAGATGAAATTTCTTAAAGCAGGATTTTGATGGCATCTCTTCTTCAGAGCTTGACAAAGATGATGACGGTGCTTCAGTCTTCTGTCTTCAAAACCCTTAATGAAACCTGTCGTAGATGGCCACTCCTATAGGTCTTTTTGCATTAATGCAGGTATTCCCTGGTATCGGTATTTGTGCTGATGACACAACTATTTACTCCTGTCTGTTCAGTTTCATAAGGTCAAATTGGCAGCTGATCTTAAAAATGACCTACAATCTTTTGTTAACTGGGGCAAGGAATGTCTTGTTAATTTTAATGCCTCCAAAAGGAAACTGGTTTCTTTTAATCAACTGAGAGAAACCTTTTTACCTTTCATCAGTGTGGCTAATGCTAACCTCCAGAAGAGTGGTTCATTACACCTTCTTGGACTAACATTCTCCGTTTATATATGGAAAGAATATATTGAATCAGTTGCTAAGTCTGCTGCTAAGAAAGTTGGTTCACCATATTGTGCTAGACAAGTTTTCTCACCAGAATCTACCTTACATATTTATAAGTCTGCCATTCATCCTTGCTTTCAATATTGCTGTCACATCTGGTCTTGTACTCCTGCTATATATTTAGAGATTCTTGACATAATCTGAAGAAACTGTAATGTTACCTGGCATCTCAGCTTCAGTCACTTTCCCATCACCATAACATAGCTTCCCTGTGCCTTTTCTATAAATACTTTCATGGTAATTGTTCTGATGACCTTTCCTCCATGGTACCTAGACTTTATGAGTTTAAAAGCAGCTCTTGGTTGGCAGCAAGGTCTCATCATTTTACAGTTGAATTGGCTAGATGTAACCATAAACTTTATACTAACAGTTTCATCTCTTGAACTTCTCACTTGTGGAACTTTATTCCGGCTTCTTGCTTCCCTGTCAACTTTGATCTTTCAAAATTTAATTACAATGTCAATCTTTCTTCTTAATTCTTGTTCTTTTATTGTCTTTTCTCATTAATTGCATATTTTTCTCATATTCTCTACCACTCAGTAACCCCCTTGAATCTTTCTTTGCTTTGGGTGAAATGATTTTAAAAAATATATATATATATATATATATATATATATATACATACATACACACACGTTTTTGATCAGTGTATTATAAAAAACCACCAAGTGTTGTTAATTATTGAATTACTAACCAGTCTTTTATCATTTTCATAATGAAACAATCAAACAGTAGTTAATATCAGTTTTTCAAATTACCTTATAAACAGCCAAATAAAATTGTTTCTTTCAAAACTAAGCAATAATGACACAGTTCACAAGGATAATAGCAATAATATTAATATATTTTATCAAGTGCATCACTCCAGTTGAACAAACTAAAAATATCAAGTTAAATATTTATTAAAATAAACTTATAAAGAGCCAGCCTTTTCACCTGCAAAATCAAAACTGTATGAGATCAATATTTTTTATTCATTCAAATACCACATAGGGAGCTGTGTTCCTGATGAAAATTAATTTTGAAATGATCATGTTGAAAACATGATTATCAAAGCTGCTGACTCTGCTTCTCTCAGACCCGAGTTCCATATGCATGCATTTAAATAAACATGAAAATGTACCCATTTTGATGTGAAATCTACTCAAGAACACAAATATTATACACACCTCCAACTGCAAAATGTATCTGAATATGATGGAAGCTTTTGTCATAAAAAAAAAACAAAAAAAACACCAACCCTTAGCATCGACTATGAGCATGGCCACGATGAAATGTTGGTATTCAGAAATTAAGAATGTCTTACTTTCAGAAACTCCTTTTTTTTTATGTGCCATGTCCTTTCAGGATGTAAGTAGTCTGGCTCTCCACCCTCCCTCTATCCCTTGCAGCTCTCAAAAAGTTCCTTCCTTCTGCTTCCTCCCCCCAGACTACGTTCTGTCATCCACTTGCTTAAGCCCGCCAGGTATGTCACGCGTTGTTTTCCCTTGTCTCTCTTTCCCTCTATTCGACCAATGAGTATCAGATTCTCCAGGCCCTCCTTCCTCATTATATGTCCTAGAAACTTCAGCTGCCTCTTCCTGATGTTAAGTGTAAGCCTTCCCCTTGTTTGCAACCTCTCTAAGACCTCTTTGTTGCTCACATGCTCAGTCATTAATATCCTTCAAAACCCTTGAAAGTAGCTAATAGGTCAATTGAAAATGCTTGGACGGAACAGTCATCTGGACAGTTTGTCCGATCACTAAAGTTCTTGCTTGCCTTCAAAAAGAAAAAAAAAAACTTAACAGAAGTACTTCATCAGTTATTTTTACTAAAACACATTTTTAGTTATATAAGCAGTGAATTCAGCAGTAACATTTTATTTTTTGTATTTGCTATATGAGCAAAAAAAAAAGAAATAAGATAAAGAGAAATAAAGAGAATGACAGATCAACAAAGTTTTATAGTAAACAAAAAAAAAAAAAGATTTTATAATTTTAGTGATTATGGTCAGTGGCTAAAAAGTGGGTGGGAGGCTTACTGGCAAGAAGTTAGAAGTACTTCAAAAATAACTTCAGTCAGGAGTTTTTGCAGTATGGTCTACATGTCAGGTCAGTGAATTGTAGTAAACAGACTACTCTGAAGCAGATTTCTACAACAACTGACTTTGCCAGGCAACTTGCTTAATTTTGGCGCCAGCCAATGAATATGAATACCCAGACGAAAGACCTCCATTTTGTAAGATCATCTGACCACATTAAAGAATTCTTTGAAGTCTTTGAGAAGTTTCATTTGTAAAAATAGATTCTCTCAACACTTATAAAATTTTCCTGCACGAGCAAGTTTTATAAACAATATAATTACAAAGGAAAGCATAAAAAATAGCAGTCAAGCATTTCGCAAAATTCACTTTGGCAGCAATATACAAAGTATTTAAATGCTGATATTCAAATACATTCCCATAAAGTTTCTTTAACAGGAATAAAATTTAAGTTTTGCATGTAATACAGTCAAATTATGACCAAGTAAAATGTTATTATGAACAATGGAGTTTATTCTTGTTGTCATTACAAGAGTTTGTGTTCAATTTAATGTAATATGCAGTTAAAAGTGTATGCACTGAATGTAGAAAAGTAAAATCTTTGAATAGTTTTGCATAGTGAAAGTGATTTCCGAAGCATCAAAAAGTTGATTTATTGACAAATAGAAATGAATAAGGTGGGGATAATTAGATGTGAACATTGGAGTAAATGTTTTATTTTGAACAGTTTATTAACCAAGAAAAAAAAACTTGTTTCTTTTAAAACAAATACTGAAAAATATAAATCGAGAATTTAGCAAAATACCCTTTAGCAGTAATGTAGATTGATGTAATGGAATAACCTGTCACCACCATGAGTAACTACACTATAGGTAGTATCTACCTATGAGTATCTGTAAGTCAATGGACTACAGAGTCTAGCTGGGATCTGTTCCAGCTGAACAATCAAACTCTCTGCCTTTGGGCAGAGAGGAACCCGGAAGAGGCTCTGCCAAAGGGCAGTCTAATTCTGGGAGGTTGACTGACCCAGAACCCATTTATACGGGTTCAAAAGGAAATATTTTTGGCTGAGCCGACAGGCTTGGAGAATCCATGCTAAACCAGCCTTGTGCCACATGCAACCCTCGTGGGGGGTAGCTAAATATACTAGTTGGGTTCTGTTGAGTACGACTCACTTACATGAGAACTACCAACCTTCCAATAGTAGCACTGACTACTGGATCGACTTGCGACGACCTTATGCATAATTGTTACCTTTATTCTTATTGTACTGGTTTTTTACAATAAACCATTACTTATTTTATCCACCTTGTTTTTCAAGTATATATTCCTATTAGCATGGAATATAACATACATATTGTTTAAAATGCAGATATTTGAATCCATTCCCAAACCTTTGTGTTCTTTGTTGGATTAAATTTGTTAATGAAATTGTGTATACAGTGAATGTAAAAAAAATCAACCTTAATATTTGGCCTAACATCATTAGCAAAAGCGGCCTCTCAAAAAGGAGTGTTGGAAAAAAAGGTTGACTTATTAAAAAATACAAGCAGATAGGTAAGGTGAGTATTTTGCTGAGTGTTTAAGTACATGTTGTGTGGACCGACTAGTAAACACATTATTTGGCACAACTTTTTATCCTTCCTGGGTGTCATATGCCCTACTCGATGAATAATTTATAATGCAATCATACGTCGACCAGGAGATATATACATTACCACGTCTATGAAGAGATACGGGCTATCTCTCCCAGACCATGACGAATGGACAATTAGTAAGCACAAATATTTAAAAGAACACTTCGATTGGGATAATCAGACAGTAATCTTTTCCAGGTTCACTTCGGTTTCAACACAAATACTGATCCACAATTCAAGGATGAATGATAAGGTGTAATAAATTTTGTTATTAGAATTTTAATATGTACATATACACAAGATATTATAATAAAAGAAAAAATATAAGCATGAGTAAAGCATCCGACGACCAGAATCTCAAGACTTATGTTGGGATACCAAAATATATCCAAATCCAAGTGGATTCAACTGAACCCGAACAGATAAAAAAATAAGTATGAATAACTATAAATGCAGAAATCGACGTATAACCAAAAGAGATGAGATAGGATTTACATATTTCTATTTTGACATGTGGAAAGATGTTTGAGAACATAAAATTTATGGATGCATGTGTATCTTTCTAACACGGGTCCAAAATATATAGTTACTTATCTTTATATTCAGTTCTCTCTCTTACTCATTGTCCATTCTTTTCTCTCTCACGTTTCCTCTTTTCTTTCTTTCTTTTTCTTTACACAAATCCAATTTCACACACGGTCCGGCTGCAACAGAGATATACACTTTCTTCCTCTCTCTGGTTTTCTCTTTTCTTTCTTTCTTCTTTACACAGTTCAGCTTCAAACACGGTCCAGCTGCAACAGAGATATATACTTTCTCTTTCTCTCTGGTTTTCTCGGACAAGTTCCATCGTTACCGAAATGAGTCTCATCTTTCCGTTCATAAGTTATCGGCGCTTCGATTTCGTGTCTTGCTCCTTCAAAGACAAGACAGCAACTGACTTCCAAGTAATTTTCTAATTCCCACATGTCCTGGACTTTCTTCTCCCAAAATGACTCAAGACTCCCACGTGACCTCTTCTGTTGTCAAGCGGAGATTAACCTTAATATATACGTGTATGGGCAATCTGCATTCATAACACTGGGTATGATGATAAGCTACATGTGGCAGCAAGGTTTTGAGTAGTGTGGAGCAACCTCTTATTTGCAGTTGTTTTCAGGTCTGTCCTCACCGAAGGTGGTATCATCTGTTAGTCCCAAGTATGGGCAAATAGTGACCCCCCTCCCCCAAACTGGGGTGAAAACACTATGAAAGTGTACCAGGAATACATTTTGAAAAAAAAAATATTCCTAGAAATAACTTAAAAAAAAAAAATTACCTAGCAATAAATTTTTGGAAATGAAATTACTAATGCTCTCAAGAAAATTAAATTTTGGCATTAAATGACCCCTGAGGATTTGATATGCCACTACATAAACAACTTTTTATTCCGCAAGAAATCTTTTTTTTCTAATCTTTGCATGTCTCAGTGACCCTTGCTATGTGTTTGGTACCTTCATCAGTGATGCTTATTTCTGGTGTCATTGAGGCTTTTGGGCCTCTAAAAACATAACTCCTTTCTCAGGTGACCCAGCCAGGAGGAATCACCTTCTAGTTATCTTTCTGGCCTCTATAAAAAGAATCAATAAATTTTGCTTGGAACTATTTATTGGTGTGATTATGTTTTTGATTTCAGCCAATGAAAATTGGTTTTACAGTTTCTACATTTTCCTATTTAATGTCATTGTATAAAATTAATTACACAATCTAAATACTTGGAATTTGTCAGAAACTTGTCTCCTGATTTTCACCAAATATAAGAATTTGAAATTCTCAGGCTCACGGTTAAAAAGTACTTTATAAAAATATACCCAAATTGTGACTAAAACTACAAGCTTAATAAGTTGGCAAACTATGACGATCATAATGATTGGTTTACATTTAGAAGCAAAAAAAGATTCTTATCAAACAGTATCTTCTTCTGAAATAGGCACACATAATATGCCATATAATATTTATTTCAGAATAAAATGAAAAAGATAAATTGTCCTCCTCACCCACTTTAACAAATAATTGAAATGCCTTCTCAAAATATATTAAAAAATACTTAATATTAATATGGCCAATGTGATGGAGTGGATTAAAAGTGCCAAGTCCAAAATGTCATTAAACTGTTTCTTTCATTCTCTGCAGATTTTACATGAATGGTGTTTGCCGTGACGGCAGTAGTTGCCGCTATTCCCATGACCGTGAAAATAGTGCTCCTGACATGGTGTGTCGGTATTATCTGCAGGGATGCTGTAGCTATGGAACTCACTGTAGGTAGGTAATCTGTTTGTTTTTTTGTTTTTTTTTCTTTTGTTATAATATACACACACTAAAATTGGCCTGTTAATATTAGAACTCTAGATTCTGTAATGGCTATCCCAAAATGGTACTAGTATCAAAGAGTAGCCCTATGTTAACTGATGAAGAAAAGCTCAAAAGCTACAGAGGCTTACAGCTATATAATGTTGAAACACTGATTCCCATACGATCAAGGAAGTTGGGTGACCACTTGGGAATACAAGGTGCTGTAAGCATGGATGTGCAGATGGTGTAATGGATAATGGCTTGGAATTGTTAATAAGAGAGCCGAGTTCCAATTCCAGTTGGGTTCATTATATTCACTTAGGTGCGAATGTCCTTGGGGAAACGTATAAATCTACCTTTTCTCCCCACAGCAATGGGTTAACCTTTAGTACACTATGAGGCACGGTGGAGCAATGGACAGCGGCATGGATTGAAGAATCGGAGAGCCAAGTTCAAATTCCAGTCGAATCCATTACATTCACTTATGTAAGGGAAAATGTACAAATCCTCTTCTTCTCCCTCCAGCTATGGGTAAATAGCAGGACAGACTGGGTTCTATAGCCTTGGTTGGCAACTGGTCTACCACAGAAAGAAATGGCAACCTACTGCGGGGAAAAAATCTGTTTCGTCAGTCATGTATCAAAAGATACATGGTCACCACTGCATGCATCTCTGATCACCAGACAATAGTGTCATTTAATTTTGCACTAGTGTTGTCATATCCTACTACAGGAAAATGACTAAGTGAAAATTGAAGATGATGCTAATGACGTTGTGTGGCCACTTACATCCAATGGATGAGGATGAAATACTTATGAATATTGCAGAATGCTAAAGGTTATTATTATCTTAAAAAAGGTCATTATTATCTCAAAAAAAAAATTCTTAGAATCTAAAAATATTTTTCGGCTTTAACCCTTTGCCTGTCCTGTGCATCATGTGATTTCAGCGTCTGTGCACACAAGCCATGATTTTAAGAGAGTGGTAAAATTAAACGCTTAAGAAAAGAGTCTACTATTAAGTAGGACATCTGAGAAAAGGCCTAATCTAACATTTTGTGCATCATACATGACCACAGGATGCTTGCCTGTTTTCAGATTTATAACTACTGCAAAGCAACTCAGATTATTTGGCAAATAGTCTGCTGAGATGTAGTGTTTCACATAATAAAAACATGTGCATCACACGTGATGCACAAAGCGTAGTGATTGATTTGTACATTTTTATTATGTGAAATACTATATATATATATATATATATATATATATATATATATATATATCAGTAGATTATAACATTAGTTAAAATGTATCTAGTTCCCTGGCAGTTGTGAGTCAATCCCTGGGTCTGGTAGTGCTGAAAAGTCACATACTCCGATTGAATGGAAGAAACGGAAAAGCAACACAAACTAAAAATAAGAATGGCAAGTATTAACTGATATGGAATATCCCCTAAGTATGGAATGAGAACAATCTAGCCCCGTGAATTAAATAAATGCTTCTATTTGGAATTCCTGGAAGATTATTCAGACACCTGAAGAAGGATGGAAATTACACTGACCGAAATGAGCGTATAAAAACCAAGATGAGCTTGTTGGGTCAAATAACCAAGCATATAAACATCAAATCAAACCATATAATAATTATCAATGTGCATTTATTTATTTATATATTTCCTGTCCCAACTGTAGTGAAAAAGGAAGTAAATTAACTTGTTAGTAAATTTATGAGTGATTACCTCCCTTAGTCATTTTAATAGTCAATACAAATAAAATATTTATCTGCATTTAGACAAAATGAACCAATTAATTAATCGTTTCCTTTACAGCTACATTTCTTAGATTGCAGTCTTATTTGTTCAAGCTTTTCATCGGAGGCACTCGGATACCTTTGTCTATTAAGTGATCGTCTTGCTTTCAAATTTTGAAATAGGCTTTGTCGTCACCATTCTGTTGCTAATCTTTTTCTTCAAATATAGATAATTTCTATTTCACTATTATATTAAACTCATTAATTTTTTAACCTGAAAAGATATTGAACAAAATGAGATCTATAATACCATGATTAATCCACGAATCATAGAATATCTAAAAAAAATATAAAGGGAATGCATTAATCAAAAGGTTCATTGGTCCCTATTTTAGTTTTAAATTCTTTATCTCCACTTTTATTGAATCTCAATACATTGTTTCAAGACTTTTGTTTCATTGCATTTCACTTTTAAAACTTTCTACCAATTGCCATCATTTTTAACAGTGCACTAGTAATAATAATTCTTTATCTCAGAAATGTTCAGTAAGAATAGATTGATAATTGAGAATAAATATTTAAAAAAAAAACAATTCAAATAGATTTTTTATATTGATCAGTCATCTCTCTCAACATCTTGGCCAAACTTCCACATCTGTTTTCTTGTTCTTCTGGGTTTTACCAGACAAGATGATACTCACACTCTCTCTACAATTTCCTGTCCCTTGTAGCTCTTAATAACTTTGGTCTTTTTGCCATCTCTACCAAACCCTGCTCTGCCATCCATTCACTCAAGCTTGTCAGGTAGGTTGTGCTTTACTTTCTTCTGTCTCTCTTATCTCCAATCTGTCCTGTGAGTATCAAATTTTCCAAGCCCTCCTTCTTCATTATCTGTCCCAGAAACCTCAACTATCTCTTCCTGATGTTAAGTATAATTATCCCTAGAACTTTGTCGTTAATCAAATGTCCAGTCCTTGGTATTCTCAGCATCCTTCTGTAGAACCATATTTCTGTTGCTTCAAGTCTCTTCATCTGTGAGTAGATTGTCCAGCATTCACTGCCATATAGGGGGACTGATATTACATAACAGTTCAGTAGTCATTTCTTTGTTTCTAACAATATTTTTTTTCTGTTTCTTAATACTCTGGTCAACTTTTGGAAGACATCTTTACCTATCCCAATGTGCCTTCCAATTTCTGTGTCACATTTACTGTCATCTGCTTGGCTGACCAGATATCTAACTTGTTGCACCTTTTTGATTATGTTATCTCCACTCTATAATTTACATGTTGGGCTGTTCCTTTTGCTAACGACCATGCATTCAGTCTTCTTGCAATTAATGTTTTGTCCTTTCTTCTCGATTTCCTACAGGAGTTCTTGTTTAATTTTCTGTGTCTGCTATCAACAATGTGTCATCTGCGTATCTTATGGTGTTAAGATTGTGGCTGCCAATAATGAATCTCGGTAGGACTTCTAATTCTCTCGGAATAGCCTTGATGTATAGATTGAAAGGGTCTGGTGATAAGACACATCTCTTTTTACTGAACTCATCCCTATGCAGGTGGTTTGCTGCCAGTATAGGTTCTGAATTATTTTAATATCCTTCCTACATATATCAAGGTTACCTAGCAGTTCCAGCAGTTCTTTGGGATATACTTTATCAAATGCTTTTGCATAATCTATAAAGCATAGGTAGATATCCTTTTACATTTGTATTGCTCATTCAGAGCATGAATATTGCATTCCTTGTTCCAGTGTCTTTAACGAACAAACACTTCTTATTTTCGGTCCAATTCTGTTGCATGCTATGTTCATCAAGATTCGGATAATAAGTTTTGTTACATGGATCATTAGGCTCATTGTCCGATGGAGTTTACATTTAGGCAATGTTATGAATATGGATCTACTTGGGTCTTCCTCCAATATCTTATTTATGAAAGCCAATTAATCTTCTTTCTTTTATGTACTGTGTCCCTCTTCAATCATGGCTCACCACAACTTCCTGTCATTTGTTGCTCTAAGTAACCTTTGACCCTTTACCAGTAATTCCTGCTGCTTGGCTGACCATGTCATCACAATCCAACTTCAGTGAACTCTTCCTGCTGGTATGCCATCATTTAAATACAAAACTTGAGGCATTAAAGTATCATATTTCACACTGATCCCTAAAATCATATGATTCAGATAGTCACATTTTGACTGAGTTGTTCTTAGGACCCTATTTTGGGTGCCCTGAAGACCTAGATTTCAATGAATAATAAGACATACTCCTCAACAGGCTGCATAAAATCCAAGGACACAATGCTCATATTAGAGGAAGAGAAAACACTTCAGAGATGAATGAATATATAGGAGAACCCTTCCACAACAAAAGAGAACAACTGGCAATGCACAGAAATACTGATGGACTGTAAATGTTAAAAACCAAAATGGAAGCTGTACTGGCTAAATTGAACAGAAACAAAGCAGCATGGCCAGACAATTGTAATAGAGATGCTGGCAGCCTTAGATGACTTCAGCATAGATAAGATGACAGAAACAATAAATGAAATCTATAACAGTGAGAATATTCTGGAAGACCTAAGCAGATCTATTTTCATAGCACTGCCTAAGAAACCAGGCACAAACAAATGTGAACTCCACTGGACAATCCTCCTAATGAGCCACATAACAAAACTCAGTGCACCTCAGAATCAGGCCTGAGATAGGACAACCTCATATGCTCCAGATGGTTTAACTTGGGTGTTGTTTTTTCTAGTGGTGATGGGTAGGCATTCCTTGTTTCACTTGATCCTAGTAGTTAAAACCCTGTTATGAGTTCAAACTGAAGCATTTCCAAGTACTAGTTTGTTTTAATATAATTAAATGCTTTTTCTTTTACTATGAAAGTGAGAAGACTGCATTGTTTATTTCCAGGTAAACTAACATGTGACTGTTCAAAGAAGACTGTCCATCCTGCTGGTCAAAAAATTCATCAACAGCAGACATCATCATAATCATCATCATCACTGTGGTACTGGTTCTCAGTCAAGTGTATATTCATGTTGAGGAACAGATGATAGTCAAATCAAGAGAATAGGGAGAGTGATCAACCAGTTCAAAGCCACAGTCAATGCACAGCAACCATTGAAACCAAGGACTTGTGTGCTGGAGCATTGTCCTGATGAAACAATACCCCTTTCATCAGTTTCCCTGAGTGTCTGGTCTTGATAGCCTTTCATAACTGCTTCAGCAAGTTGACATAGTATTCACCATTGATGGTGTATCCCTTTTGAAGATAGTCAATAAACACAATGCCTTTTGCATCCCAACAAACTGAGGCCATCACCTTCCCTGCAGATGAAATGACCTTTTTTTTTTTTGTTTTCTTTTAAAGCAGGTGAGGAGGGGTGCTTTCACTGAATGGAATGTTTCTTTGTCTCTTTGGCTCAAAGTGATGAACCCAAGACATACTGGGTTAGGGAACATTTAAGGAAACCAACTGTGGATCTGCTTCAAACAATGTCAGATTTTCCCCTGATGTGATTACCTTATGCACTTTTGATCAGGCATCAGAAGATATGGAACCTACCAAACAGAAACCTTTGTCATGCCATGTTCATTCTTGTAGAATATTCTCAACTCTCTCACAGGATATGCTAATAGCATTGGCTATTTGATTTATAGTCAATTGCCTGTCATCCGTTGCCATGAGGTGAACACAATCAATGTTTTCCTTGGTGATGGCAGTTGCAGGATGTCCAGACCTTGAGTCATCTTCAAGACTCTCCCTTTCCTTCCTAAATTCAGCTGTCCACTTTTGCACTGCTGATAAAGCTGGAGTGTCATCCCCTAATGTAGAAACCATGTCAGCATGAATGTCCTTGGTGGCTAAACCATTTTTCTGCAGGTACTTGATAACCCCAAGCTGCCAAATTTTGTCCACTTTCAAGAGAAGTCACTACTTGTTACTTTTGAAGTCTTCTTTGAACAGTCAGATGTCAGTTTATCTAAAAAGAAATACAGTAGTTATTAATAAGAGGAGTTGAAATTAAATCATGCAATATTTCACAGCTCTAGCATCATTCCTTTATAGTCGGCCTATGATGTTTTCAGACTACCCTCATATGTCCATATTTTATACGGATTTACCTTCCCATAGCATCTATCATGGTTATTTGAAATGGAAAGCCTTCTGTCAACTTCCCTTTGTGATTTAATGCCAGTAGTTTTAAACTGAAAATTTCATGTTTTTCCTATTTTAATATTGTGATGAATCTTAATTCTTAAGTTAACAATTGAGTAAGCTCATGGCAAGTTCTACGACAATAAAATATCTCCTATCACATCATTAAATATTTGAGCTTTATAACTTTAACAGAATATTGTAATAACTATCATAAATATGAATGCTGGTCACTATTTTAAGAACTGGTTACAAATGAAAAAACTGTTTCCATTTCATTGAAACAGCTGTTAAACACTTCTGTCTTTCTTTCTTTCATTTTCTCACTGAAACCAAGTAGTGTTTTCCCCCTTTTCCATACAGTGAAAACAGAATAGTCCATTATTTATGAGGTATTGGTAGGAGATGTTAAACACTTTTATCTTCCCTTATTTCTTTCTTTCTAGGTAAATCCCTATCTTACGAACTTTTCTCTTAATAATAATTTTAAAATAATTCAGCAGGTGATGTTATTTATTTAATTTATGATAATTGGATTTTTTGAAATTACTTTGGTTTTCATTGTTTGATACTGTGCATCTGAAAAATAGTGCTTTTATCAGGCACCATAGTTTCTCAAGCTTTTGGCTGGGATCAAAGTACAGTATCTGTTCTTATCATCTTAATCTGACTTTTTTTCTACCTCCTTCATTTTCTTACTGAAACCAAGTAATGTTTTTTTTTCCATCTTTCCACCCAATCAATACATGGAATAGTCCCTTATTTATGAGGTATTGACAGGACGTAATGGTCATGCTAAGTAGTGAAGAGAGGGGCGAGCACAATTGTAATAGCATTAGGAATATTAGCGTTCATTGAATTTTTTTTTTTTTTTTATGATGACAAAAGTTTAGTCATATTAAATCCCCCACATTAGTTTCAGCTCCTGAGCCTCACATGATGCGTACTACCAGATTGTTTCCTCTTGATGATGAATTGTTTATGGTAAACCGTAGCTGATTATCACACGCACTTTTGGTCAGAAGTGGGGTAAACGTTTCTCCACATTTTAGATGAGAGAACTTGCCCAGTCCTGGGAATTCCAACCCTGTGGCAGCACCTTCCAGTAAGAGAGGTATGGTCAATGTAATATTAATGACAGTGGACAAAAATTTTTGCCCTTGGCCTACATGCATGCCCATGTGTATAATGCTCCCCATGTAAAGACTACACTGTGTCATGTTCTACTTTAGCTGCAAGGCCAGGTAAATATACCAGGCACATTTGAATAGCAGTGGTTGTGCTAATTTACATGTCTTGGATATATGGAATGACTACAAGAACTGAACAGCAAATGCAGGCAGTTGTGACGATTCTTACTGGCAGTGTGCATATAGAAGGTGGGAGGCTTTGTAGGTCAGGTGTGACGAACCTTGGTTGATGTCTGGACCTTTGACAGTTCGAGTAACATTGCTAGTGTGGACAATTGCAACAGCAATAATGTATTCTGTTTAGTTGTTGGAGCTGCAAAAATAACAGGTTATCCATACTTTCTGCTAAGACAGAAAAAGAAAAAACACATGACAAAGAAAATAAGTTCTCAGTGCCAGACAAAGCGTTCCTTCTCTTTTTTTTTTTTTTTTTTTTTTTTTTTTTTTTTTTTTTTTTTTTTTCTAGCTTATGGCCTTATGATATTGAAACACTGGTTTCCACACAATCACTGCAGTTAAGCAATGTCAAGCCTGGTCTGTACCGAAATGGATAACTGCTTAGGAGTATCAGCTGTTGTAATTTTGGATGTGCAGGTGGTGTAGTGGATAATGTCTCAGAATTGTGGATCTGAGAGCAGAGTTCCAATTCCCATTGTGTTTGTTATAGTCACTTAGTGCAAATGCCCTTGGGAAAGGTATGAATCCACCTCTTCTTCCCTCAGCTATGGGTTAATTAGTAAAACTTATATCACTAAATGATTATCTCAAAAAATATTCTTACAATCTAGAAATATTTTCTGGCTTTAAAAAAAAAAACCTACAAAAGGTTGAATAGCTGTAGAAAATGAATCTTTTTTTTTTCCTCTCTGGTGAATTTAGGAGAGGTAGGGACAGTTCTTCTTTCATCTCTTGAGTTGTCCCTTTTTGTGTGTGTGTGTTCATGCAAGGCCTAAGAAGTGCTCAAGGTAGAATGTTACTGAATGAAGTTCTAGAGGCATAAGAGGAGGTGGTCAGAAGGGCAGACTTATGAGGATAATGGTTGATTCTGGACTTAAAGAGATTAAGATCATAGTGATCAGGCCATGACTCTCTCTCTCTCTCTCAAGTCTGTTCCACAAAATGTTCTAAATGAAACTTCTTACTTACCAATAGAATATGAAGGGAAAGGTGATAATTCATCACAGTATGCATAGCATAGCAGGTCTTAGCTGTAAAGGTGTGAACTGGAGGAGGGCTTATGGCTATATCAAACTGAAACACCGGTTATCATACAGTCACCAAAGTTAAGCAATGTCTAGCTTGTTCAGTACTTAGATGGGTGACTGCATGTGATTACCAGGTGCTGTGGGCTGGGATATGCAGATTGTATAATGGCTTGGAATTGGAAATCAGATAGCCAAGTTCTAATTTATATAAATTTACTTGTGCACAAATACCCTTGGGGAACATTATGAGTGCACCTCTTCTCCCCCAACTATGGGTTAATTAGTAGAACTTGTGTCAGTAAAAATCATTATCTCCAAAAACTTCTTATGATCTAAAAATATTTTCTGGTTTTAAATAACCTGCACAAAGTCGATAAGCGATTTTTTTTTTTTTTTTTTTTTTTTTTTTTTTTTTTTTAAATAAATAAATATATATATATATATATATATATATATATATATCAAATTGAATGAACTGTAAGAACTTAAGAATGTAGCTTGTCAGACTATGGAAATAGCAATTGAGTAGCAAGAGCCTACAGTGTTTTGTCAGTGGAGAAAGGGATTGTAGGGTGGGAAATAATTTATCATCAGGCTGTCAAGGTTGAAAAGTGAGCATTGGGCAGCCCCAGCCCAGATATGGCAGCAATACAACATTTTTGGTTTGATCTGACTCTTGTGAAGGTAGAGAAAGTGAGGAGTTCAGTACTGTTATGCTCTGTCACTATTCCTCAAAGTCTCAACTTTCATTGCTACAGAGGTGAGATATACTCATGAATTTTTTTTTTTTTTCAGATATGACCATGTAAAACCTCGCCCAGTCAGTCCACATCCGACAGTCTCTCCCTCATTCCAATCAACTCCATATACCATTTCTCCAGTGCCAGAGAACTCTCGTCCTGAGCTTCCAGATTTTCAAAGTTATGTCCCTGAAAACACAGAAAGCAAACTAATTGATTTGTGGGATCAGGACATCCAAGATGACCTTGAGAATCTCTACAGTCCGAGTTTGTGGAGTTCGGCTCCTTCTACAAGCGACAAAGTGATATTACGGGGAGGACGCATTAAAACCAAAGCAGACTGGGCTAAGGACTCTCCAGTGTTTGTCCCTCAAACATCAGCCAATGTTCCAGGTAAGTTTTTTTTCATTTTCTACCTATTCTATCAAATTTTGTTTGAGCAATAAAGCAGACAGACATATTTAAAAAAAAAAAAAAATTCATAACCAAAAACATATTACCACAAAAAAATAATACCAAATATGACAGTGATTAAAAACAGAAAAACTGGTTTATCATTGTCTCGCATCAAAGCAGAAATCGAGGACAAAATTTGTTTTTTGTTTCGTGCATTTTGTTTCGTGCATTTTGTTTTGTGCATCTTGTTTTTTGTTTTGTGCATTTTGTTTTTTGTGTCTTGTTTTTTGTTTTGTACATTTTGTTTTTTGTTTTGTGTGTCTTGTTTTGTTTTTACATAACGTTACTCTGGGATTGTATTTTTTTAGTTGCTGCGCGTATATTTTTATGATGTAAACATAAATTTATTCTTGTAAATAAACAGTCGAATAAAGTAATGCTGTTTAACATTTTTGTTGTCGGCTCTCGAGAAAAAAAATAACGTAAAAATCCAGTAATATACATTTGGGTTTTATTAAAATCTTAAAAAGAACTTTTCAAAACAAGATCACTGATTGAATATACAGTAACAGCAAAACTGTCCTTTTGACAAACTATTTTTTTTTTTTCTGCCAGCACATTTGTTAAACTTTGCCAATATCTTTTTCTGCCATAAAAGATGGGCAGAAGTAAAGTTTTATTTGCTGTTTATTTGACAATCTGCCAATGCAAAAATAAATAAAACAAAGAAATATTTTCTGGCTTTAAAAAAAAAAATGATATTCTCAGATCTGAGATTGTCTTAATCTTCCAGAAAACCTTGTTTTGTTTTCCAGCCCTCAGTTATGCCCAGGTAGCTGACTCTTCCGCAGCACCAAAAGACCCTAGTCTTGACAATTCTGTAACATTGCCTTGTTACTTATCGGAGAACTTTGATGAAATCTGCAATGACTTTCCCAAACCTACATACACTGAAAATGAACTTTGTCCCTACCTTGCTCATGGTGCCTGCCCCAACATGGAACGGTGTTGCTATGTCCATGGGGACGTATGTGAAATGTGTGGCTTGAATGTATTACACCCAACAGACGTAGAACAGCGGCAAAAACATGAAATGGTAGGTTCTGCTCTCTTCTTTTCTTTAACTGTGTAATTTGACTTAGGGGAATATACTTTTTATTGTTCTCATCTTGATGACATTTCAGCCAAGTACCTACACTCTGGCCATCTTCAGGTTTCCATTGTTTTATTAAATCATTTATTATGTTATTCCTTCTCTGTGATGCCATTTCTTGTTCGTTCCTGCTGACCAAGTGTATATTGTTTCACTACCTGATCCAGGTAGTGACGATGGCCAGAATGTACTTGGCCAAATCTTTGTGTCTATATTGATTTATGTTTGGGTTGTTTGTTTGTTTTTTTTTTTTTTTTTTTTTTTTTAACAGTTTATCAGCAGGTTGGTTAAATCCCAAAAATATTTTTAGATTGTAAGGATTGTTTGTGAGATAATAATTTATTGTTACAAGTTTTAATAATTGTTAATTAGCTGAGGGAAAAGAGGTAGATTCATACCTTTCTCATAGGTAAGTAAATATAATGAACCCAACTGGAATTGAAACTCTGCTCTCTGAGTAACAATCCCAAACCATTATCCATAACACCAGCCACAAATCCAAGCTTATAGCAGCTGATATTCTCAAGTGGTCACTCATCTAGGTACTGACCAGGCTCATTGTTGCTTAACTTTTTTTAATCATGCAAGTGTTTCAATGTGATATGGCTGTAAACCTCATTGTGTCTAACAACATCTACAATAATTAACAGGTGAACAATAGTTGTCTATATTTCTGAGATGAGGTATTGTAACTATTTACACTATTCAGAATTATTCAGAATGTTGTCCTCGTCTTTATTGTCCCATTCATGTTTTAGCCAAGGATACATGGCTCAGTGGATAAGTGTTGGTCGATTAACCCAAAGAGTTGTGAGTTCAATTCCTGGCTTCAATGGAGAGAACGAAAACTTGCAGTGTTATCAGGGGGAATTAACTAAAACTGAAGCATGGTATGTGGAATTAGAACAATCTACCCCTATGGAGTAAATAAAGGGTCCGGTTCAAAAACTCCTACAAATATTACCTGAAAAAGGCTGGAGTGTGCAATGGCCGAAACAACATTAATGAGACAGTAAAGATGAGGACAACAATGTAAAGACGCATCTCAAAAATTAATGAAAACAAAATTTTATTGTCTAAATGTTTAATGTTATTATTTAGAGGAAAGACCAAATTTTTTTTAATTATTTTAAAAAATTTTTTTTTGCTTCTTTTTAGAACATTCTAAATTTTGATTAAAAAAAGAGCTTGTTTCTTATTTGTTGATCAAAGATCAAAGGAACTAGTAAAATAACATAGACAATTTTTAGCCCGTTTTTTTTTTTTTGTATGACACACATTAATTTGGAAAATCTTGCAAAAATAAAAATAATTGTCGGATGTTAATGAAACTTTCAGAAACTATTCACAGATGATCGAAATTATTATAAATATGTTTTTTTTTATTAAAGTCATGGCAGAAATATTTTTTTTTTTATTTTTACCCCCCCCCCTAACTAATTTTATGAAAACTCTAGAAATTCGATCGCATCGGTTTTAGTGATTACAATAGTTAAAAAAAGCACAAGGCTTTGAGGAATGCAAATCATGTTTTTTTTTTTTTTTTTTTAATTGATACCTCTACCTGAAAATCAGCTCTGAATTGTAACATACAAAACTCAATAAAACAAAGATATTATTTAATTTCAAATGCTTTTATTTGCTTTTGTCTTGTTTTTATGAATATGGACAATATTTTCTGAAAGCAAAAAAATTTTTTCGATGAAAATGAATTTTTAATACAATTATTTGTTATTTCTTTAATTATAATAGATTTTTTTTACATTTAAGTTGTTAAAATATTATAAAATTAGTTAAAAGCCGCATCAGGCTTTTTTACAAACTAATGTCCAATGAGATAGATCTTTTTTTTTGCGCGTTGTAAATTGTATCATTTTGACTAATCAGAAGATCCGCAGTAATTAAGAAATGTAATTTTGTGTTTATAATCGGGCTGTAATTATAAAATACGGAAGACCAACCAGAATACAATTAAGTTGCGTTATTTGAGTTAAGCATTGTTCTCCGCTGTTAAGGCCTTTTACTTTTGCAAACACGTGTGGAGAAGTTAATTTGATTTTTCAATTTCAACTGAGAAGGGTACCTACAAGTATCAGTATCATCTTATGAAATTTATATGATCTTATTTTTATATTAATCTCAGTTATGACATTTTTCCATAAATGAAATATCAAAATTAATAATAAAATGAATGGAAATACAAATAACACAGTAAAATGTAATAAATGTACATAAAATTATAGTATTTTATGTACACTTCTGATAAAATTTCATAAGAAAGGTACCTATAAATTAATTAGATACCTTTCTTATGAAATATGAAATTTAATCTCACTCTTAACAGTCTTATTTTAATTTCTTTATAATATATTTTCCATAAAGCATCATAAATGTAAAGGTGAAAGCTAAGTACAAAAAAAAAAAAAAAAAAGAGCGCTGAAAGTTTTCCTTAAAAATAACGAGGTAAATAATTTGTTCACTTAAATGTAAATTATTTCACTTTTCTCCTTCCGTAGAACAAATTAGCCTCACACGGAATCCGTCAATATGTCATTCATCACCTGTCAAGTGACACGAAAGTTTATGACCTGTTCTGTTTTATTTTCAAATTACATCTTTTTAGCACAGAAGCTAAGTTAAGCTTTGTTCAAAATATTTTAAATAAACATTATAATTTCTGATTTTCTTAAAATAAGTTTTGAAAAATGATAATTGATATTTAAAAAATTTCAAAGTGAGATTTCCAGTTTTTTTTAAAATGGAAAAAAAATGGTCAATTTTGCTGACTCAAAAAAAAAAAAAATTTTTTAACGAAAATTTCAACGTGCTAGGAACGATTAAAAAATGTAAAAAATACCCCCAAAAAATACTTTGATCTTTCCTCTTAATAATAACATAAACATTTAGATGATAAAATTTTGTTTTTTTTCAAGTTTGGCGTCTTTTTCATCATGCTATGCTCTTTTTTTTAGCGATCTCGTTGGAGGTACCTAAATATAATTATTAAAATTATTATTATCTATATCTTGTTTTTTTTTTTTCAGCAAAAATATAAATTTACTAAAAAAATTATATTTTATTGATAATATTTAAATATAATAATAAACAAATTGAAATTAATTAGAATAAAAAATGTGAAATTTTTTTGATAGTATAGGATAATTATTTATGAAAAATTTACAGAACCATAGGATGTTTATTTTTACAGAATTTATATTGATTTTCAAATTTTCCATAAATATTAATTTTTAAACCCAGGTTTGATTGTACTTACAAATTTGAAAAAACCTGACCAAAAAGAATATCTGCAAAAAAGCCATATCCACCAATTTTAAATATTAATTCACACAAATTTAAAAAATTTTTTTTTAATAAAACAATGTTTAAGAGACATAGCTTTTAATTCAAGAATTTCAAAACAAACTTAATTTTAAAAAAATTGAAATGAAATATATTTTAAAAAAATCTTTCATTTTATTATATTTTTTTGAGAGCAATTTCTTTTAGTTTCTTTTTTTTTTGCCATATTTCACAAAAAATTTTGCAAAACAAATTTTAGACAAAAAAAATTTAAAAAAAATTTATCTAAAAAACTGATTAGAAATTGTTTTTGTCAATTTTTTTATCTTTGTCAATTAATTTTTTTAATCAGTTGTTTCAACTTTCATTTTTTACAACCAAAAACAGTTTTTTTTTTTATTTTTAGGGAAAGAGGATCCATTTTTCAAAAAATGGAATAATCTATAAATAAAAAAATTTGATGAATTATTGTATTAATCAAAAAAATTCAAAATTAGTAAATTTAATTAATTATGATAAAAAAAATGAACAATAGATCTGTCTATTGCAAAATAAACTAATTTTTTTCTTGTCATTTTGTTTCTTTAAATTTGATCTTAAATCTTTTGCCCCATTTCTTAAAAAGATGCATGATTTCTTTTTTCCCTGTCCTTGTTCTACCATCAAATTTATCAAAAAAAGTAGGTTGTATTTCAAATTGGAAATTCTTTGTGTGTGTTTGTGTGTATGTGTGTGTGTGTAAATTTTTGTGTGTTCTGTGATTTGTATCCAAAAAATTAGAGTATTTTGTGTCTTTTTTGTGTGTTTTTCTTGTTTCAGTTTTTTTTTATGTGTTTCAAAATATTGCTCAATTTTCTATCTATGGTGTGTCACCATCCATATTTTATAAAAGGAATTTTCATGTTTGTTTTAAATTTCCTCTTCATCTGTAAAAAGCATTGCAAATTTATTCACTATTAAATACAATAGGATAAATGTGAATAGGATGTCAGTCTATGTAAATATAAAATAATTGTAAGGTTAAAAAAAGTGAATGTTTTTAACTCCATGTTTTTCCATAAGGACAATCTAGTTATTTCTCAGATCAATTATTATTGTTGTTTTTACATTGTTTCGTCTGTTGTCCTCATATTTGAGAAGAAGGCCAGAGCATACAAATGAAATTTCCAATATGGTTGTAATAATCGACAGATTTTTTTTTTTTAAAGTTTTCAATATAAATTGTGTTCATTTTAAGGATAGAATCTTTTAATATTACTAAAAAAAATAAAATTTATTTTTAATTTTTAAACATTTAAATTGAAAAATTTACAATATAAATTAAAAAAGCAAGCAAAAAACAAAAATTTTACAATTTATCTTAAACGTTATTTTGTATATGATTTGAAAAGAAATGCTGGTCTATAAATCACTCAAGTAATTCTGCTTGCAATTAGATAATTTTTTTTCGTTGAAAATTTTATTTAAAAAATTTGGCTTTTTCAAAAATAAACATTTTTTAATTTTTTTTTTCATTCGATTTTTTTTTAAAATAATTTTTGTTTGTATGATCATTTTACATTGGCTCTGTTTATTTTCCTTTTTTTTTTCAATTCTACAAATTTAAAAGAATAATTTCTTTCAGTTAAATGTATTTAAATTTGAAAAAAGAAATTCATTTCTTAAAATCACTATAATCC